GTTGTGGCTATCTCTGTGTCTCAGTATGTGGTCGATTCTTGACAATGTTCCATGTGCACTAGAGAAGAATGTGTAAGCAGCTGTTTGGGGATGGAAGGCTCTGTAAATTTCAATTATGTGCAGTTGGACTAAAGTGTTATTTAGGATGTTATTAGTATTAAGGATGTTATTTCCTTATTGATTTTCTGTTTGGGTGATCTGTCCATATTCGAAAGTGGGGTCTTTAGGTCTCCTACTACGACAGTGTTTTGGTCTGTTTCTCCCTTTAGTTCTGTTAGTAATTGCTTTACACATTCCTGGGATCCTTGATTGGGAGCATAGATATTAATAAGTATTATGTCTTCTTGGTGCATGATTCTCTTTATCATTATGAAGTGTCCCTCACTTTATAATGAAGAAATGTCTTTCTTTACATTTTTTATTTTGAAGTCTATTTCATCCGATATTAGTACTGCTACTTCCGCTTTTCTCTGAATGCCATTTGCTTGAAATACCATTTTTCACCCTTTCACTTTGAGTCTATATTTGTCTTTGAAGCTGGGATGTATCTCTTGGAGACAGCATATGGTTGGGTTTTGGTTTTTGATCCATTGTGCAACTCTGAGCCTTTTTATTGGTGAGTTTAGTCCATTTACATTTAGTGTGATTATTGAAATATGAGGTCTTCTTATAGCCATTTTATCTTTTGCTCTGGTAGCTTGGTGTTTCCATTTCTTCCTTGTCCCTGTGTTTCTGTTTTCTTTATTTTGGTTGGCTTTTGTGGGTTTTGCTTCTGAATCTTCTCGTTTCATGTTATATACTTCAGTTCTGACACTTCGGTGTGTGGTTACCATTATAAATGTGAAAAAGATAGTTATATAGATACAGTCGTCCATTTTCATCTGTGTGTGCCTTATCTCCTTACCCCTTTGGGAGTTTGAACGTTTAAATCCTCCCCTTTTCAGTCATTGTTATCTCAGTTTGTTTCTGTGTATGCTGCACGTTCATTACTATCTTTCTATAGCAATTATCTTATTATTTAAGCTTATTTTGCCTTGTTTTTAGTCATGGTTGCACTCCGCTGCTTCTATTTGCCTGATATTCACTTTACTCCTAATTATGTATGTTTTCGTTGTTGTTATTTTGTTTTAAGTGAGCCGACCCATTTCAGAATTTCCTGTAGTGCAGGCCTCATAGTGGAGAATTCTCTCAATTTTTGCACATGTGAAAAGGTCTTAATTTCTCCTTCGTGTCTAAAGGAGAGCTTAGGTGGATACATTATTCTATGCTGGTGATTCCTTTCACTTAATAGTTTAAATATTTCATTTTATTCCTTTCTGGCTTGCGTGGTCTGCGATACAAGTCTGATGATAATCTAATGGGTTACCATTTTCTTCCTTCTGGCTGCCCTGAGAATTCTACCTTTGTCATTGATTTTTGATACCTTTAATAAAGTGTGTCTTGGTGAAGGCTTTTTGGGTTGAGATAATTGGGTGTTCTGTTGACTTCTTGAATTCCAAGTTCCAGCTCATTCCTTAGTTTTGGGAAATTCTCTTTCGCTATTTGTCTGAAAATTCTTTTTAGTCCCTGCTCCTTTTCCTCACTTTCGGTAATGCCCAATATTCTTATGTTTCCTCTCCCGATGGAATCAGCTAGTTCTTGTATTTCTCTTTCATTATTTTCCATTCTTCAGTTTCTCTCTTCTTCCTTTTGATTTATTTCTAAATTTCTGTCTTTGATATCACTGATCCTTTCCTCCATTTCTTTGACTCTATTTCCCAAGCTTGCTATTCCATTTTTGAACTCTTGCAGTTTGTTTTTGTTTTTGTTTTTGTTTTTATCTCCAGAAGTTCTATTTGGTTCCTTTTTAAGGGTTTCAATATCCTTGCTCTGCTCATCTAGCTGTTTTCTCAATTTCTGAAATTGTTGATATGACTCATTTTGGAACTCAGTGAGTTTTTTCAGAAGTACCATCCTGAATTCTCTGTCACTTAAGTCACATATTTCTATGTCTGTAAGGTCATTTTCTGGAGAATTTTCTCTTTCTTTCTTAGATGCATTGTGACCTTGGTTGTTCATGGTGTTTAATAGACTATTTCTCCTCCTGGGCAATAATGGAAGTGTATTCTGTTGTTTTTCCAGAAAGAAGCTTTATTATATAAAGGTCTCTCTTTATTATATAAAGGTCTCTTAAAGAAGGTGCTTTTCTTTTGGTTTCCAGTAGGTGCAAAGAAGACGCTTTTCTTTTGGTTTCCAGTAGGTGACATCTAAGCCTCTTGGATCCCTCCTTTATATAAAGCTTAAATGCCTTTTTTTATTTTCTTGTAGATGTTTAATCACGCTCGCTAACCTCAGTTTCAGTCTCTGTCAGTGTCAGTGACAGTCTCGGCAGCATTTGCTCAGATTCCTCTGGGGCTCTGTGGTGTTCTGTCTTAGAGGGTATGGGGGGCAGGGCCCTCTGGGTTGGGAGTTGGGGGCTGCGGTTCAGTCTCCATTTTGCAACCAGGGGCG